TTAAAACACTTGTGTGTGATCTGTCCTCCTTTTTTATTGTTATGATGGCTTATGTTGTGTAGTTAAGTAGCCTGAAATGATTTCTATCTTAGGTTGCTAAGAGACAATAAATTTGAGGGAAGCATTCCTCTGGAGATCAGGAGGCTTAACCTGCTTTCTGAATTTCGATTTGATGGAAACCTTGCATCTGCTGCTGCTGCTGGAGTTAGCTTTGTCAATAGAAAACTTGGACATGGGTAAGTGACTTTTTCCATCTTTCCTTATCAACACTCATCCGCGGGTACAATTGTTTTTGCCATGACATGTTATAACTAAATTGAAGCACCTTGAATTCACCATCAAATACAGGGAGAAAAACTATTATTTACACCTGATCAATACCTCTCCACATCATCATTGGTTTTTCCATCAATTTAGAAGACGAAAGTCTCTTGCTTTTTCTATTGTTTGCACTCTGCCTCTCACAAGAAATACCACATGAAAGCTATGTGACATGTCAGATAAATTTAGCATGAGGTGATTATGGACTTCGTAGACATGTAGTTTAAGAGCACTGATACATACCCATTCTTGCTAGCTTAAAAATAGTTTGTCCTTATCTCCCATGTCTTGCATTAAGCATCCCTTTTTGATTTGATTCTTTCTAACCGATCATCAAGTATCATTTTGTGAATGGAAGTTATTGAAGTTGGAGGTGTGATTCAGTTTAATAATCTGTTTTTCTGATCTAAAACGTATGTACTGTGCAGCATGTGGTGGAGCAGCTGGAAGCACTTGAATGGGGCGAATTCATTCATATTCCCAGTTAAAGGAGCTTTTATGCATTACCTGAATTCCATGACATTGCAATTGTATGGAACTTAATATGCTTTACACACAACACATGCTCACACACATTTACAATTTTATGTATACGGATGCAGATAGTGATGAAGATATCCCACTTTTGACATATTTGCATTTTAATTGCGGTGGTTTGTTTGTTCTTTCTACTGATTGCCTACCCTCATTAAAAGGTTCAAGCTCGGGAAGGATACTCTGCATGGTCGCAAAGAAAATTGCTTTGTTAAGCCAGATAGTGAGTACAAAACATTCTCCAACCTTGGTTGTTTGTTTTCAAAATTTGTACTTGTGAGACAAATCTGATACGTTTTGCACTGAGCAGGATCACCTGAGCAAAATGTAGAGATCCTTGCCAATTTTGTACGTCGCAGACTCCTTGAGCAGTCCAGTAACCTCCAAGCTGCACCTGCGGGTGGTGGATCTTCCTCTCAACCAATTATTGCTCTTCCAACCACGCGAAGTAGTGGGGCTTTCCCAGCTATACCAAATGCAAAGAAGCATCAACCTCAATCCCCTGTGCCATTGGATTCACCTGCTAATCCTCCAACAATAGGAACTAAGGCTTCAACTCATTCTGCTGAAAAGCCATTTAAAGAACAATCTCCAACCAATGGAACTTCTGGAAATACATGGATGTATTTCCTAATCATTCCAATTGTGGGTGTCTTGATCATTTTTGTAGCAGGCTTGCTCTTTAGGTGCCGGAAACAAGGAGTGACAACCATAGGTCCTTGGAAGACTGGTCTAAGTGGACAGTTGCAGAAAGCATTCGTTACAGGTGACATCTAGTGTGTAAATAAAGAAATTAAAAAAAAAAGAAAAGAATGTTGACTTTATTATTGATCAGTAGGCTGATTAGGCTAGGATCTTTATTTATCAACATGATTAACAACATAAATTGTGTGATTTCACCAACGTGATTGATTGAAGTGGTCTAACAACTGTGGGTTTTTGTCTTGCCCACATGAATGTCACATTAGGATTGTGTCACATGTTTGGATGCCTGAGGAATAAGAGGTCATATTTAAGTTCTTCAGCAACTTTTGGTGGAGGCATACCTAAACAAAATGAGATAGGAATGTCAAGACTTGTTTTATGAACATGTGAATTTATGTAATAAAATTGTTAATTTTGGTTGACATCTTATTCAACTTAATTATTTGATTGCTACATTTTTTTTATAACAGAAAGAGTGAACTAAACGGCAATGACTCTCGTTTTTATCACTAGTTCAGTAAAATCAAGTTCTGGCTCCATGTGCATGATGAGTCCTGCCATTAAGTTTCACCGAGCTTTATTATTTTTCTGCATGTGTTGTCTCTGGTAGATTAGTGTCCGGTCCAGTCTTAAAGCATTATTGTTTATTCCATGATCTTGTATTTGTTCAATTTATTTCGAGCATAATCAGTTAGTCATATGAAATATAGGGGTTCCCAAGCTAAATCGATCAGAGCTGGAAACTGCCTGTGAGGATTTCAGCAATATCATTGATACATTTGATGGTTTCACTGCATATAAGGGAACACTGTCTAGTGGAGTTGAGATTTCTGTTGCATCAACTACAGTGGCTTCTTCCAAAGATTGGTCAAAGAATGCAGAAATGGCATACCGGAAAAAGGTTTGCCTTTAACATATAGCAAGCATTGATTTTATTATGCAAATCTCTCTCTTTTACTAAAAGTTTGTTCTACAAATCTTTTGGTGTGTAGATTGATACACTATCACGGATTAATCATAAGAACTTTGTAAACCTCATTGGCTTCTGTGAGGAGGATGAACCTTTCAATAGGATGATGGTTTTTGAATATGCTCCAAATGGAACTCTCTTTGAGCATCTGCATGGTAAGGTTCTCAGTTAATCAACTTTTGGTAGTGGGGATTTTGTCAGTGTTGCTGGTGCAATGTTGGAAAGGCTGAAAGTTTCAAACATTTCTTTGTATTTTTAGTTAAAGAAATGGAACATCTCGACTGGAATACAAGGATGAGGATTATTATGGGTGTTTCTTATTGCCTGCAATATATGCACCATGATCTGAATCCTCCTATAGCACATTCTGAACTGTGTTCACGCGCTATCTTCTTAACAGATGATTATGCTGCTAAGGTACATCCTTTACTCTGTCATGGATTAACTTCGTCTTGTCTTCTTCTCATTTTAATTTTAATTTAATCTCACCATCTCGATTTTGCTTTCTCAGATTGCAGAGATCTGTTTTTTGCCTCAAGCTACATCAAACTCAAAGGTCTCAGGCGAATTGGAGGATTCACTGCCACCCCATGTTGATCCAGAAACAAACATCTATCGTTTTGGGGTTTTGTTGCTTGAAATCATTTCCGGGAAGCCCCCATACTCGGAAGAACAAGGACCCCTTGAAAAATGGGTAAGTCTGTACGAAATCTCATACTCTAATCATAGCTTTCAGCTTTAACTCGAGGCTAAATATTTGTTCTATCTACATACTAGATGGTTTTTGTAACCTTATAATTTTACTTCCAGGCTGCTGAATATTTGAATGGCAAGCGGAGCATCAGCTGCATGATTGATCCAAGCCTTAAGTCTTTCAAAAACAATGATCTTGACGTCATCTGTGAGATTATCCAACAATGCATCCAATCAAATGCAAGGCATAGACCAACAATGAAGGAGATCACCTCCAAATTGAGGGAAGTGATTTCTATCTCACCTGATCAAGCAACCCCTAGACTTTCTCCTCTGTGGTGGGCTGAGCTTGAGATATTGTCCGTAGAGGCAACTTAGAGCTCTCTCCCCCTCTGATTCTTGCTGCAAGTAAAGTCTCTCTCATACTCTGTGTGTCAAAATATAAAAGTCAGCTTTTCAATCGGTGCTGCCCCAAAATCATCAAATACCACCAATCCTTGGCTTTCCCGTCCCATTGTTTTTTGGTCCCATTATTGTATTCTTTAATTTGATTCATTCTATTAGTTTTATTTTTTTCCCTATTTCTCCTAGCATTGCACATTACTATGAGAATGTGATATAGGGTTTCATTCGTGGGGTATCGTGTTCCAATTGGTAAAAGGAATATGTATTTTGTGATTGACTTTTGTGGTGTAAAAAACTAACATAGCACTGGGATTTTACTCCTAGTGAACTTATTAATTGTGAGAGTTTGTTTGATTAATAGCTAGTTTGTTTATGCTCTCACAGTTTCTGATGGCCTTTGGCACAATTGCTTTCGATTGATTTCATGAATTCCAATTGTAGTAATGGAAGTAGAGAACTTCTGATAGAACTGAATAATTATAGCTGTTAGCTTCTTGTTGGAGAAAGGGACTCGCAATCTTTCGGATTTTGAAGCCATTCTGATTCCAGTAGCAGCAAGTAAACTCTCCATGAATTGAGAGTTCGAATTTCACTAATCATTCATGTATTTGGCGACACATTTAAGTTTTCATGCATGCTCATAAGAACCCTCGATAAGACCTTAAACTTGCCTATGACATGAATGTGGCTAGGGTTCTTTCACGTTAAAAAGATGATGTGATGTCGACGCAGTCTTCCATGCTGGAGAATACAGGATAGCCCGACTACCTTCATATAAATCAATATTCCTTGTTAAATTCAAGTCAATAGATCAAGAAATAAACATGAGGGAGTTTACGTGATTGATCTATGCTTTTAAATTAAATTCAATAATTGGTTTGATGATAAATCAAAGGGTCTACGTTGAATTGGTGATGCACTCTTCTAATTGTTTTGATTGGAGTCTTGTATTCTTTTTTCTTGTATTGATTTTGTCGTCCTGCTTTTTATTGTTGCTTGGAACCCTAGTGATGGAGTAACTCTTCCATTTATGGAATTATGGAATTAAATAAATAAGAAAACAAAAATAAACACATAAATTTTTTTTTTTTTTTAATTTAATCTTTTTATATTTGATTTTGTTCATAATTGACTTTGATAGGTTGTTTCAACGAGCTTATCTTGCATTTCTCGGGGGTGAAAAATTCTGCCATTTTTCTTGGACTTGATTTTATGAAGTACTTTTTTTAGTTGAGAGATTAAAATTCAAGAGACATAATTGACAATTAGAAAAAATCCAGACCTTAAGGAAAGAAATAAAAAAAACATTGGAATTCAATGTGAAAGGTAGGGGTGAGCCAAAAAAAAATAATTAAATTGAGAAAATAAAAAAAATCGAATTAATCAATTAAAAAATCATAAAACATTTTCGGTTCGGTTCAGTTTTAGTTTCTAAAGTCTGAAATCAATTGAACCGAACCAGTTCAACTAGCTAGCACTAAAAAAAAAAGATAAATATAAATACAATGTTTTCTAACCTAAGAGTATCAGCCATCAGCCGTTGCCCCCTCTTCTCTACATCTCTCTCTCTTTAGTATAACTTTACTTTCTGCTTCAGCTCCCCTCCCTTTTCTGCATCTCTCTTTCTTTTGTATCACTTTATTGTCTGTCGTTGCCCCCCCTTTCCCTGCATCTTTCTCTCTTTTGTATCACTTTACTGTCTGCTCTACCCCCCTCCCTTCTCTGCATTTCTCTCCCTTTGCTATCACTTTACTCTCTGCCTTGCTTTGATTTTCCTCCCCTGCTTTATGGATTTGGTTCCTTTGGGTTTTCTTCAGATCTTAGTTCTCCTGTTGAGTCTGTGGTTTACTTTACTAAAACAGAGAATGACGAAGAAGATTTCTTGGATGGGTTAACTCGTCAAATGGCTCACCTCACCATTGAAGATGATTTCAAGAGAAACGACCTCACCTGCAGCATCGAAAAGACTAAGGTATTGCTTCCTTTATGTTTCTTTTTAAAGTAGGACAACTTGCACTGGATTTGTGATTATGTTTTTTGGGGCTAATGTTCGAGTCTTGGGTTTTTTGCCTAATTTACAGGGTTGGGTTTTGTCTGGATCGCCTCAATCAATGCTATGTGCAGTTGGACGCAGGTGTGGTTGTGGATAAGGGTCTAGCTGTGGAAGCCTGAATGGCTCTTCACCTCTAGTAACTTGGGATTTGCTGTACGGGGCTGTAGAAGAAGTAGAGAGTATTGTTGGGTTTGAACTGGTTTGGAAGGGAAAAAAATAGAACCGACCAAACCGAAATTAATCGGTTTGAACCGGTTTTCAATGTGGTTCGGTTCAAAAAATTAAAAAAATTGATTTGGTTGTTTATTTTGGTTGAAAACACGACCGAACAAAAAATGTTCAACCCTAGTGAAAGGAGAAAAAAAAAAGAAAAAGGAAGGAAAATTGGTTATCGACATTGCACCGAAAAAAATAACCTCCATACGCTATCTTTAATGGAAGCCCCTATCAAATTGCTTATAGAGACATCATGGAAGACTGCATTTAGAGGTTCAAGGATACTGCACACACCATCACATTATGGTAGATCCTCTTACATGTTGGCACATGTTCTCTACATGCTAGATATTTTTTGAGTTCTGAATTTACTCACACCGAAGCCTAAGTCTTTTTTTTATTATTATTACAATTTAGCAATTGATTATCAAATAACTCTTTAATTTAACCTTGAATTTCATCTGACCTGAAAACAATGAAGGCACAACCAGGAAGAGAATAAAAAAAAAAATTAACTCAATTGATATAATATATTATTGTTTTAATATTTAATAAATAAATATTATTTTGATTTTTTTAAATCAAATTATATTTTTATCAATTATTTAAATTATTTTTAAATCTATCATGTCAAATAAACTAAGATATATAAAATTAACCTTTATATAATTTTAATTATTGTTTTTTACCTAAAAAAGATATTAGCAACATAGCGGCGTACAATGATCTAATTATAGCTAATTGAGTAAATTATAAATTAATCCTTATAATTTTAAAAAACGAATTAATTAGCCCTCTTCTTTCAGTAGGTAATTTTTTAGTTCCTTGAGCAAAGCTGAACACACTTGATTTGATATTACTTTATTTCCAAAAACATTTTTTTATCAATCTTTCGAGAATATCTAGTAATTTTTAAAATAAGAAAATGTAAAAGAATATAAAAGAAATGAAAAGAACTAAATAATTAGCTTTTGAAATTAACAAGGGGATTAATTGATAATTTGTTGATTTCTCAAAATCACATGGATTGAATTATAATTTACTCAAGTAGGATATAATAATTAGAAGGGAAGGAGAGTCTTGGTTTAATACCGACCATGGTAGAGGATTAGTTGATATTATACTTTGCTCTCTCTCTCTCTCTCTCTCTCTCTATTTCTCTCTATTATTATTATTATTATTATTACTGTTATCATGTTGAACGTTATCTGTTTTTTTCTTGTTGTATTAAACGTTATAAAACACAAGATTGACATCAAGTCTGCAAGAAGAAAAAAAGGTTGAAAAACCAAAACCAGGAGGGAAAAAAACTATCAGAAAGAAACGGAAAAACAGAAAAAAGCTAGCCCTAAAACCCTAAAAAGATTGACAACTACTCCTTTCTGCTAATACTATCCCTTCTCTTTCCCCATTGCCTTAGCTGAATTTGGAGCGTACTAGTTGCAGCTAAGAAGTCCACACACTGCAATGGACTTAAAACATCCAAAACTCCCTTCAAAGTCCTCAGCCTAACACAGTCTGCTGCTTTCATAACCTTCTCTAGTCCCACCATCAGTCCCTTCATTGCCACCTCCACCAACCCGTCGAACTGAGCTATTGTTTCGCTATCCTTGACCCGGCCTGTCAACCTTGCCAACTCGAACATCTTCCTGTCTGCCATAGCTACCTGTTGCCTCTCCATTTCCCTCTCCACCTTCTCTTCCTCTAACCTTATCTTCACCCTCAGCTCCTCAATCTTTCCCAGCTGTTCCTGTGTCAGCTCGGCAAGACTCGACCCAGGAACCCGATTTATTCTCGTTGAATCAATGAGTTTAAATATGGTTGAAGGTTTCCATCCAGTAAACCATGAATATGCATTCTCTAAAGGGTTACCCCAAATTGGACAAAAGAATGCAAGCACATCTTCATGGGCTAAAGACCATTTGATAGTGAAGTAGTCTTTGTAATGCTGTGTCACTTTTGATACCAAAGTTTGTAGCTCTCGCTGATCACAGACGGTATCAATAACTCTCTGTTTTGATGCCCTCAGTAGCAGTTGTAGATACTCATCCAGTTGACAAGCCCACTTCTCAAAGAACTCAGAGAATCTCTCACCAACTTTGCCTTTCATTTTGTTTTTCTTTGTGCAAACACAGAGAATTAACACGGTAAGTGAAAGGTTGGAGTTGATTCGATAACAGAGAGATATGTGTTGTGTTGGTGTTACACACAAAAAGGCTGGGATGCTTGTGCATGACCTACACCTTGCTTCGGAGCTTGAACGGTTAAGTGACCTTTACATAAAAAGAGAGGGTCAAGAGTCTAACAGGGAACATTTACTTGGTTTCTTCTAATTCGACCTGTGTTGATGAGTCATTGAAGCACCCCACCACATGGTGTTTGATGTTTCTTATTTTGAAAAACGTGTCAACATTTGACTCTGTATGGGGTTCAACGTGGAACCCAAATGGGGGTTGCATACTCTATTTCCAATTTTGCCAGGTCTTCGTTTCGGTCCAATCCAACCATTTCATCTCTCCTAAAATGAGAGTTTGATGAAACAATTGCAAATAAGCTAGAGATAAATCAATTATGCATAGGTTATGGTTTCTTCTTTTATTAGCCTACCTGTTGTGCAGCGCCTTTTTTTCTTTTTCTTTTTAATATTGAATACCTTATTTTATTAATTAAATATATTCTATCATAATCAATTTACTTGTAAGAGAATTTTTGGCATTCAAATACTAGTATTAATATATCTAATTTTGAGATTGTGAACTTGAAAATAACTATATATCCAATTTTTGGTCTTGATAACTCGTCCCCAGAAATCTACCACCTTGTTAGCTTGACATCTCTGTAAGGTTTCATAATTTTTTATGTACTTTATTTTATGGAACTTGGGGTTTAGGAATTAAGCATTTGATTCCAACATATTACTGAGCTGTTCAAGCATCTAAGAATATAATCGAATACTGCAATTAGCCTGTTTATACTGATTGAATATGAATTTGGCCATGGCGGGCGGGGACTGTTTGGATTTTAGTGTTGGCAGGCTATATTTTAGTGCTGGTAGGCTATCTTACATATTCTCAAACAAAGTAGTGAACAGTGAAGAATTAGAGTCAATATGTACCCATCATGATGTTTAAGGATTTATGGTAATAAATGATTTTGATATTCACAAACTTGTCGACTGCATATAGTATTTGTTTGTAAAGATCTACAGCTATTCGGGAAACTGTATCTCCGATCTATATTCACAAACTGTATTTCTTTACTCCGCGCGTGGTCACTAGTTTTTCCATCAATGTAGCAGACAAAAGTCTCTAGCCCTTCTTCTCACAAGAAATACCTCATGAAAGCTATCTGACACGATCAATTCAGCATGAGGTGATTATGGGCTTCGTGCACATGTAGTTTAAGCGAACTGATGCATACCCGTTCTTGCTAGCTTAAAAGTAGTTTTTCCTTGTCTCCCATGTCTTACATTAAACATTATAAACTTGTGCCTATGCCACTCAACATTTAAAGAACTAGGAGCATACCATTTTGTGAATGGAAGTTACTGAAGTTGAAGGAGTGCTTCAGTTTAATAATCTGTTTTTCTGATAAAAATTGCACGTCTTGTGCAGCATGTGGTGGACCAACTTGAAGCAGGTGAGTGGGGCGAATTCATTCATGTTCCCAATTAGAGGAGATTTGGTGCTTTACCTGAATTCCTTGACACTGAAATTGTATGGAATTTAATATGTTTTACACACAACATATGCTCACACACACGTACAATTTTAATATATACCGATGCAGATAGCGATGAAGATATCTCACTTTTGACATATTTTCATTGTAGTTGTGGTTGTTTGTGTGTTCTTTCTGCTGATCGCTTACCCTTATTACAAGGTTCAAGCTCGGGAAGGATACTATGCATGGTAGCAGTGCAAATCGCTTTGTTAAGCCAGATAGGGAGTACAAAACATTCTCCAAAATTGGTTTGTTTGTTTTTAAAATTTTTGCTTGTGGGACAAATCTGATACCTTTTGCACCGAGCAGGATCACCTGAGCAAAATGCAGGGATCCTTGCTAATTTTGTACGTCGCCGACTACTTGAGAAGATCTCAACCGGTTATTCCTCTTCCAACAATATTGGGGGCTTCCCTGCAAACCCAAAAGCAAAGAAGAGTCGCTCAATCCCCTGTGACATTGGATCCATCTCTTAATCCTCCAACAATAGGGGCTAAGTCTTCAAATCATTATGCTGAAAAGCAATTTAAGGAAAAACCTCCAAGCAATGGAACTTCCAGAAATACATGGATGTATGTCCTAATTATTCCAATCGAGGGTGTCTTGATCATTGTTGTAGGAGGCTTGCTGTTTACTTGCCGGAAACAAGAAGTGACAACCATAGGTCCTCGGAAAACTGGTCTAAGTGGACAGTTGCAGAAAGCATTTGTTAAAGGTGATATCTAGTGTGTAAATAAAGAAATAGTTTTCTGATATGAGCAACCTGATTAACAGCACAAGTTATGTGATTTGACCAACCTGATTGATTGAAGTGGTGGATCAACAGTGGATTTTTTTCTCACCCACACGAATGTTACTGTAGGATTGTTGCACATGATTGGATATCTGAGGAATAAGAGGTCTAGTATATTCAAGCTGTGCAGCTTGCAAGAGCCTTTACTTTCGGAGGCATACCTAAACAAAATGAGCTAGGAATGTCGAGCCTTATTTCATCAATTTATTTAATCACATTGTTTATTTTGGTTGACATCTTATTTGACTTTATTATTTAATCGCTAAGAGTGTGTAGAAAGTAAATTAATTTCTAGAAATTAGCTAAAGCAGTTGATTGATTGAAAATAGATTAATTAGTTGAGATTGAGTAATTGATTAGATTAAATAAATTTATCGATTTATTTAATCGTCAGAATATAATTTTTATTTGGGTTATAATTTTTTTATATTAGTTTAACTCTTAATTATTTAGAATTTTATGTTTATAAAAAGGCATGTAAGCATTATTAAGTAGTACAAAAATAAAAAGAATAACTAAAAGAGTGTAAAGAGAAACACTTAATAAAAGTATATTTTTCTCTTAATCTTCTTCTTGTTATTGAGTTTTTTTACTTTTGCATTACTATTTTTGATTTTATACCACATATATCTTTCTTCCAACAAGTGATATCAAAACTTAAATTTAATTATTTAACATGGTCAATTCAGACTTCTCACTTCAATATTATATAGGTTGACAAATAATAACTATGAAACTAGGTGTATGAAACTTGGTGTATTAAGTAAATGCTTGACTAGGTTCTCAAAATATATGGGAGATAGTTGAAAAGAGCTTTTAAAAGCCTATAAATAAATCAACGCTAACTTCATTACAAAAGGAGATCGTGTAAAAGGCATGATGAAAGATCAACAAACATTAATAATTATCCATCAATGGATAACATCAATTTTGAGATAGTAGTCATTGCAAGTATAAAAAGTTTTACAAGAATCAAACCAAAGAGCTAACAATAATAGAAAAATATGTTTACAAAAGCAACGTGATGACTTTAAAAAGTTACATATATTTTAATTAAAGAGTATTCTAGAATACTTTACAAAAGTATTGATCATATATAATTAAATAAAGAGAGAATAAAAAAGACATGTGTAGTATAGAATATCCTACATTTGTTATAAAAAAAGTTCTAGTAATCATGATAAAAAAGTTACAAAATATAGATATATTTTCAATTTAAGATCTTCTAAAAAACAATTGTAGGACTATAGAAAGAGTCAATAAGATTTAATAAGAGTTAATAAAATTTAATAGAATATTCGTGCATAGACACTTTTTTTCAAAATAAAATGTTTCTAAATATTCATAAAAGGATAGAGGGTATGGTTCTAGATATTTTTATGTGAAGAATGAAACGGGAGAGAAGATGAGCTAGGGCCGGGAGAGAAGTGAATGTATTAAAGATATGTTTGGTATTAGTTAAAAAGTATAAATGTATTCTTGTTCAAAAAAAAATCATTAAAGAGAAAAAAGGAAAAGCGCGTTACCTGTAGAGTTAGGAAATTTGGATCTAAAGCTTTATTATGAAAAAATAAAGAAACACTTTTTTTTCTAATATGTCCCTTTATTTTTCATGTTATATTTTCATAAAAAACTTTTTTTCAAGTGAGTTTTATCTGAATTATTTTTAAAAAAAATGGACTAACTTGTAGTATTGATTATAAAATATTTTATGTTTTTGAAATTTATTTTTTAGTAAAGTATTTAAAGTTTACCTATATATTTTTTTAAAATCAACATTTATTTATTTTATTTTATCTCTCAATACAAACCCTAAACGTATGATGTTGAGGTCGCCTGCAGGATGATAGAAATGGTGGAATTGAAGAATATTATAGAAAATATATGTGCGGCCCAACCGTGACCACAATTCATTTGATATGATTATTTATTTATTTAGTCAAAAGTGATGTTGTGGTCTCTAAGGTCAATGCACAGATTTACTTTATTCTGCATGATTGATCCGTGGGCCTCTTTTAACTACGTATCACTGCTCTACCTCTGTCTTATTTCGCTGGAACGCTCCATTAACACTAAGCTAAGCATGGCTGCATCTGTGGGCATTATAGATTTAATAGAGCCAGGTGGTGGCGAGGCACCCAGATGGTCAAGGCCTCATGCTTCCATGATGCCACAAGAAATGATAATTGGAAGCCTTGCGGTCCCAGCACCCACCCACCAAAGATTATTTTGAAAATCTTGTAATTTGCAATGTAGAAAGAGTATCATAATAATATCATAGAAAAATACACATTAATTTTATAATATTAGAATTTTTGTTTCTGTTATTTAATTTCTAAAAAAAATTATTTTTTTTAATTTTTTTATTTTAAATTAATATTTTTTTATTTTTTAAAAATTATTTTTTATATTAATTTTTTTATTTTAAATTAATATATTTTTAATATTTTTAAATTATTTTGATGTATTAATATCAAAAATAATTTTTAAAAAATAAAAAAAATATTAATATATATTTTAACACAAAAAATTATTTAAAAAATAATCACAACTATTTTTTAAAATAAAATTAGCGCCGAACATTTAATGATTTGGCTACGTGATGTTATCAAAATCATCACCATAATTAATCCCATAAATTAGATTAAGAAACAAAAAAAGAAAAGATTGATTTCAAGTTTTTCCCTCATTATGAACTAAACGAAACTGCCATGCAGGACTGTGTATAATAATTACTCAAAATGAAGAAAGAACGCAATACAGAACATGATAGTCAATATAATTGACTCTATGACTCTCCAACCTCCAAGACTTTATGATTCTAGACGAATCACAGATGTTTCTTTAGGTGGATTTTCCCTAAGCTGAATCCATATGGTTGGCACGTGGCATTTGTCTGCCTGTCATTGGTGTCAGAGTCAAGAGCTACCGGACTAGCCATACCTAACACCTTCCAACTTCATTTGTATACATATAGAAGAAAAAAACAGAGTTGGAAACAAAAATTACAGATGCTGTTCTGGTTGGCAATGTTTAGAAATTAGGCAGAGCCAGAAATTGATGCACCATTAACTCTGAAGCCATCAACAAACACAGCTAGCAACGTTGTTGAATTGCCTCAGTTTTTTCTTAGGAAAAAAACCTCTAATTTCCATCACTACACACAATAGGATTTGTCCAAAACCAGAAGCAAATGCATACACTGTTCAGATCCATGTAAAGTTCCACTGACTGAGATGGTTGCATAATCAGTGTGAAGAATGGTGGGTGATATGAACTAGAAAATACCCAGCACGCAATGCATTATGACCAAAAATAAAGCCTGCATGACTCACAAATTTGTCCGTGCACGAGATACACTATCCATCTATGTACTAACAAAAACAGGAACACGTGCCCTGTTTTTCTCCCAGAAGAGGATAAGGATTCAGAAACCGTGATTCACAAACATGCCAAAGGAACAAGAGCATGCATCATCCCAGCAACACATACCACTCAATTAATCAAGTGAAATTGTATATGGCTCCAGTTATCCTCACGTTAGAAATGATTTTTCAGCATTCTTTGGATGGGAGGAGGGGTATGCACGAAAAAAGAAGGCATTAAATGTTGAAAATGCAAGTTTGTGACTTTGAGAAGGAACAAAAACACAAAGCTTAGCTCCAATACGATTTCATGACTAATGATGCACGCAAAAAGCAAAGCAGTATTAGAAGAAAAAACAAGAAAGAGGTTAGAGAGTGAAACAAATTCATGACAAATTCACTAAATTCTTTACCAGATAAAACCTATGGTTCAAGATATGTTAACTTCAATCCATTCAAGGCAAATGGCACGCAGCGAAAATCTCCAACTCCTAGACGTAGTAATCAATAGATGAAAATATAAATGATTTTTATCATCTCTTCTCCGTTTCTCAATCACTCAACTGAAAAGACACCTTAGAATGGAAACAAAGCTCGATTTGGATGAGCAAACAGGCACCAGGCAGCGGATTGGGCCAGCACCACCAAGGCCATCAGAATGAGCGTACAGAATTTGTATTGACAGAAGCAATGCAATGCGCTATTATTGGAACAATATCTATTATGGCATGCATGCATGCATTTTAGCAATATGCAATTGACAGACAAATAAAGAATATGACATACAACATTATCAGTGAATGTATGCCCCCATTATTATCCTCGCACCAATTTTAAATGCTTGAAACTAACTTCACACTTACTATTATTGCAGAACTTGAGAAATCAGGGAGATGTATCACAAAGAAGCTCAACTAGGTTGTGCCCCGTCCACCATCTACAGGGAAATCAAAAGGTTACCACAAACCAATACCAGGCACAACTATAACCTTTTCCAGTAAAATCATTTCAAACCAAAACTCCTACCCATTAATCACCTTATATTTTGTACACACTTTCCTTACTGAACCGAGAACCTGTATTCTCAGTTTTAAGTCCTTGCTTCTATATAACTGAGCAACTCCAGCACAGTGGGGTTCTTAATTTTTACAAATTCCTAATCCCAGTTTCAACATGAATTTTCTGCAATGATGAACTGATCTACACAGTGGAACTAGTAGGATTCATTTACTCCACATAAAGCTCTAGTTATTATTCGTGATTTAAATACAGCCCCATATAAACGAGAAACAGCTCTCCTGCTCATACATGGCACCCTTCAGATGAGTTATGTTAAGGAATCAACTGAACCATTAACTATCAACTATATTTTTTTCAATTAAAATGGCTATTGCTATTATTGACATCTTAGTATGAAGAGAGTTCCCTAATATCTTCACCAATCATATTTGCAACTAATATATAGACTCTCCAACCTGCATACTGTAAATTATCCAAGCAAATGCTGTATAAACAGGAGCAGAGGGCATATCCCTACCCAATATTGGACTGCACACAAGATACAATCAAGAAATTTAAATGATTCACTTCCATTTTTTTATTTTCTTCTTCATAATGAAATCATGAACCTTGTATTTGCAACACTCCGTACCACAATCGGCAGGAATGAGCAGACGAGAGCAACTTCATTCACATTTACAACATAAGTTAACAGAACATACAAGTCACCACTAAATTGCCAAGACCAGCAGAAATAAGAATGTCATTCTCTTCAATTAATCTACTTTTTTCTCGGCAGAAGAAAAGAACATACAACATGTGTTTTAGCATCTAATTTCCTAATGACACAGCAGAACATCAAAGAAAATTAAAAGCCCCAAAAAACAAAATATAGCATGCAAAAACTTATTGAAGCAAACGGAAAGAGTAAGGCATACCCTTTTCCTTTCTCTTTTTTTCTCTATTCAGAATCCGAAGGTAAATGTGAAGAAAGGATAGGAAAAGGATCGATAGGTAATTGTGTAGAATCGGTAGGAAAAGGATCAGTAGGTAATTGTGTGGAATCGGTAGGAAAAGGATCAACGGGTAATTGTGAAGAATCAGTAGGAAAAGGATCGATGGTGAATTGTGGAGATCCCGATGGCACAGGAGCAGTAGTAGTAACATTAGCAGCAGCAGCAGCCGCCTCGGATTCCTCCTGCGTCAACCTCTGCAATCCAGGTTTCAATTCCTTGTTACAAAACTCCTCGTACTCTCCTCTATCCCCTCCTTTCTTTTTAACCTCCACCACAACCAATTTCGGTGTCAACTCAAATATCTCAGCTGCAATTGTTAATGGGCCTTTCACACCTTCTCTAGACCCTTCCAAACTCACTCTACAATCCTTTTTCCTCACTGAAAAGCTAACAACTTTAGCAATCTCCTCCAGTTTAGATATAATCTTCGACACAGGGGCCCCCGAAACAAACCTTGCTCCCTCTCCACCTTCCTCAAACAACCCAGATAAATCAAATCCAGGCGAAAACGATATTATATCAAAAGCATTCAAACTCGCAGGTCTAGGCAAAAATGTAACCCTTCTTCTAGTTTCGAATTCCGATTCCGATTCAGATAATGATTGATCAGAAGATGAACCCACATCTTCCACGTCTTCAACACTACAAACTTTATCATCTTCGATATAAAATTTAATATTCTTAAACCCCTTTTTGAACCACCTGTTCTCCATAATCTCAGGGATTGTAATTCTTGTAACAGGGTTAGTATCAAGAAGTTTATGAAGAAGCCTGACTAGCTCAGAAGAGAACCATCTAGGACATCTAAACTCCCCCTTGTAAATCTTTTTATACATAACCATGACATTTTGATCATGAAATGGTAAATAACCAGCCATTAAAACAAACAGAACAATCCCACAAGACCAGATATCAACCTTCGCAGCATCATACCCTTTTCTTGCAAGAACTTCAGGAGCAACATAAGCCGGTGTCCCGCAAAAAGTATGGAACAAACCATCTTGTCTAATCTGATCAGACACTGCGCTCAATCCAAAATCGGAGACTTTCAAGTTACCATTCTCATCAAGCAACAAGTTCTCCGGCTTCAAATCGCGATGAAAAACACCTCTGGCATGACAAAAGGAAACGGCTGAAATCAATTGCTGGAAATATTTCCTGGCAACCTCTTCTTTTAACCTGCCTTTAGCAACCTTATTGAACAACTCACCACCACGAACATATTCCATGACAAAGTAAATCTTGGCTTTCGTGGCCATGACTTCAAAAAGCTGGACAATATAGGGGTGGCGAACAAGGCGAAGAATGGAGATTTCACGTTTGATATGAGCAATTAGACCACCCTTGAGGACTTTTTCTTTGTCAATGACTTTGATGGCAACACTTTCGTTGGTTTTAATGTTTCCAGCATGGTATACCTTAGCAAAAGTACCGTGTCCAAGAAGTTTGCCGATCTCGTACCGACCCAGAAGTGGGCTTTGGCTTTGGCTATTATTGCTCTTGTTTCCTAATTTTTTGTTGGTTGCCATAGAAATTGATGAGATGAGATGAGATGGATGGATGGATGAATGAATTTAGGTTTGCTCTCTCTCTCTCTCTCTCTCTCGCTCTGAAAGGAAGAAAGACAGCAAGAAGTAACCTAGAACAGAGGAGGATGCATTTGCATTATGGTCACCCTCTCTCACTCTAATAATAAAGAATAACAATAACAGAATAAATTCCTTTTTTTCTTTCTTTTTAGTTTTTTATCATATTATTATTTCTTCTTGAATTGATCCAAATATATGTTGTGCTGAATTGCATAAATGTTATTCCTATTATTTGATGTTTTCCCCGTTATCTTTGCCTTGGAATCGATGAGTTATATCCCCATTTTTTTTATTTTTTTTTATGACGTTATTTCTTTTCAATATATTAACGTGCGTTTACCATTCCTTCAAAAAAAAGACACGTGCACTTTATTCCTCTCGAGTATCCCAATAACAATGGATTTGATTAGAAAGTTGGAAATAAAAAATGGATTTGATTAATTAAACGACTCTTCGATGAGATGAGAGAGAGATTTCTCGTATTTTAAACAGAGTTTTTTAAAATCTTAAATTTTTTTAATTTAAATTATTTTTTTACATCATTTTAATATAATAATATTAAAAATTAATTTTAAAAATATTATTTTAATATATTTATAAATAAAATATTTTAAAAAATAACCGTTATTATTATCCTCTCGAACACATTCAAAGGGAAAGATTTTCTTTTATAAAAAGATTCAAATACGCAAAAACAGCTGGTTTCAAACCTTAATTTTATGTGTGGTTAGCACGTGCTGTTGCTTGCGAGTTTTCGTGGACCACACGTAGCTAATTCTTTTCTCATTTTCCCTCCCACGCCACCATACATCTAACACATTTCTGTTTACCGTTTGATGGTTTGATCAACGGTTTGAAGGGCTGGATACGTGGCAAGGAGTGGACTTTATGGTGCTGTGGCTCTCATGGGGATAATAGTCGCTTACGTCATGGGGATCCCATGAGGCGGAAGTACGTGGTGCTGATGATAAGGGAGGTTGTAAGTCAACTTGATGGTCGGTGATCGTCTCACATACACGTATCCGAAAATTTTAAAAAATGTTGACCAGTCTTTTTCTATTTTATTAATATGAATAACTTAACAACTTATGTGCTTCTTGAGTAATTTCATAAGTTTTAAAATTAATAATTATATAAATTTTTAATAATTATTATATTAACAATCATAAGATTCAAATATAAAACTACAAAAAACAAAATTTTTTAATAAAAAACTTTTATCACTTTCAATCTTTTTAGTAGTATAAAAGTGCATGGAAACAGTTAAATAGTCTCCTAGGTAAAAATAAAATCTGAAAGAAATATGCTGACATGCAAATAAATTATTTACTTTTTTACTTACTATTTTATGAGATTATTATATTTTGGTTTTATGGTTGCTCATTGACTTTTTCATAATTATTAGATGATTTGTAGCTCAACTGCATCTTAAAAAACAATAGCTTTAAATTATTATTTTTATTTATTTTTAAATATTTTAATGTGATATATATATATATATATATTTAAAAAAACCCTTTAAAAAGCACATCAATTATACTCTCAAATATACACTTAATTTTATCTTGCCATCTATCACCATAGTTGATGTAGATAATTTATAATTCATTTATTATTTGTATTTTTAAATCAAATTTCAATTTATAATTTGGTGTTGATGATCATTAGAGTTAACACGTAAATTGATAAGAAACTCTTATTTCTCTGGAAGTTAGCCAAAGTCAAAATAGTTGAAGAAAATTCTCATACAATATTTTCAAATTTTGGAAGATAGTATTACATCCTCTTGTTTCAAGTCTAGTTCAACATGCGTGTCACACTTCATGAGATATGGATAAGAAGATATATATATATTGAAATAATAATTTTGTGACACCTAAGATATGATAGATGTATACAATATTTTTTAAAATATTTTACATGTTAAACGAAAATGAATAAAAACACACTTAAAAACCATAATAATATGTAATCAATTGAATGTAAGAATGGAGAGGATAAGCATCGTATAAACTATATTTACTTACAATTGAATGAATCCGGATACCTAAGACGTTATATTGTTTTGATAATTATTGTGATGATTATGAACGAGCACGCGGTGATCATTTTATTTCTTCTCTTTTGAAGTTCATTATCCATTTCTATCTCTTTTGTTATTTACTAATTGATTTGCTGGCGTGACGAACCATGTTTTTTAAAATATAAAAAAGAAATAATAAAAAATGGAAATATTTTTTTGCAATATTATAAATCCAAGCAAAAACAATAAATCTTTAAATCTTTTATCTTAAATCTTTGACTGTCGTGAGTTTTCGATAAAATATATAAAAGATACTCGGTGACTGTATTTATTTTAATTATTATTAATATTATTATTGTTATTATTATTATTATAATAATTACTATCATCACTATAATTATTAATATCATAATCACTAAAATTATTATAATAAAATTAATTATTGATATCATAACCACATCATAATAAACTACTACTATTATTTTAGTAGTAATATTATTTTTATTGTTGTTTTTGCTGCTACTACCACCACCACTATTAATATTTTCACTAATATTATCACCATTATTATTGTTATGATTATTGTTATTGTTGCTATTGTTACCATTAATCTTGTTATTTTAATTATTATTATCACAATTATTATTGTAATTATTATCATTACTATAATTATTGATATCATAATCATTAAAACTATCATCGTAACTTTCATCACCATCATCACTATCACCATTATTATTATTACTATTACCATCATCACTATCACTATTATTATTACTATTAATATTATTATTACTATTATAAATATTATTATTACAATTATCACCATTAGTACCACTATCATTATTACTAACATTATCATCATTATTAGTAGTATTTAAACGTATAATAAAGTGCAATAAATAAATAAAAGACACTTCTAAAATTGGAGATAAGGGTTCCTAAGGTAAGATCTTGATGTTTTTATACTTGATTTAATGATTTTAAGATTTGAATGGTTTAAAATGTTTAATTAATATTTTAAGATGTTAGTGTGGCTTAAATCATTTGATAGAAGGATTGGGTTATAAGTTTTTTAGTAACAAGTTGAATTGTTTTAAATATTTGCAGTTTTGGGAGACTGTTAAATCAAAATTTTAAAATTTTAATCAATCGATCAACCTATTTGTCTGAACCAGTCCACCTATTGTGATTACGGTTGATCATTTAACTGAGCAGTAAAGGTTGATCAATTCTTTTAAGATCAATCAGTTTAGAACATGTTCAAGATCGATTGGGTGGACTTGTTTTACTTTTATAATTACATTTTGGTCTTTAATTTTAGAGTTGTAATCTTTATTTTATTTGTTTCAAGTTGTTTTTTAGTACTTTTTGTATTCATTATAAATTCTATTGATATTTCTCTTAGCAATTCTCAGTAATCACTAGTTTTATGCCTATTTGTATTTTGTTTTTATTCTCTTAGTGAGTGGAATAATTTTTAACATACATCTAATATAAATAAATTTGTGTATGTTAATTATATGATGAGTACAACCTGTTATTTATTAAAAAAAATTATATGTTACTTTATTTTTTGAGTAATCATCTATTTTTGATTTTTCACTCGTATTTTGTTGGATTAAATTATATTCGATATGACATTCATTTGCTTTTATAATTATGTGAATATATATTATGTATTGATATTGAAAACTCAAAACTAACAGAGAGTGGTTAATCTATATACATATAGCAGTTTGTATATCTAGTTGATGAAAAAAACATCAACCTGTAGCAACTAATCCTTCTATAATGATTAGAACTGCAAACCTTGTCTGTTATTAAAATCATATGATTTCGTCTATTATTTCTTATATGACATACATTTCACTACTACATACTAATATGCTTAATATGTATATATACATCTATTTTAATTCTTATACTTCTATTATATCACAATTTATTCACGATAACTTATAAATATTTATAATGTATATTAAATATTATTCATCCATGTAGTAGATTAAACTCACCTTTTTTTATATATTTTTTTTAGGTTCTTTGCTTCTGTTAACAAGTTAATTTTATTGAGAATTTTTGCTTTTGTGTTTTTTATTGGTATGTCTTGCTTGTTTTTGTAAAGCTTTTCTCTTGTTCTTGATTTGATATCTTAGAATGCTTTATATTATTACACTATTTTAGTTAAAGTTTGGATTTTTATATTGTAATAAGTATTTTGAATTATTATTGATTTTGAAGAATATTTTGAAAGTTTAGGAAATGCTATGAAATTTTATATAAATTATTTTATAAAAAGTATGTTAAGGGCTTAACGTAGATAGAATGTTTGTATAATACTTCTCTTGAGTTGTCGGTCATGGACCCTGAATTTGTTAATTAAATTAGATCAAAGAAAAATAAATTGTGATATGTTTAGTTTATTTATTTGTTCTAATTAATCTTTGTTGATAATGCAACACTTGTTAAGTCGAGCATCCTACGCATATATTTCATTGATCTAACTTAGTTAATTTCAAAAAGAGAGTAAATGATACGGGTTAAGTAGCTCATTGTGTCTAAGTCGTAAAAAAGAAATATCATGCGTGTAAGCCTACTAAGGTGCTGTTTGGTAATGCGGCTACACCGAAGATTATAGCTAGTAGTGGTTTTTTTTTTATGTTTGGCTATGTTTTAAATCTATTTTTATTTTGGTGGGACCCATCAATTCTTGTGGCCAGACTTGTGATTTAAAGAAAGTTGAAAAAGGTAGTTGCCAAGCAATAACATTGCTTGTTTTCCTCTTTTTTGCCGTGGAGAATCTCCACTGTTCACTTGAATAATTTTAGCCGATCTAGATAAGATCCGGTTCAAAGTTAAATATATTGAACCAGATTTGATCTAATAAAATAAAAAAAATAAATTTTATTTTTTATTTTTTAATTATTTTTTATGAAGGAGAGAGAGAGAGGTATTTATTGAAATTAAATTTTTTTTTTATCTTGTTGCATGTTTAAGAAACTAAAAAAACTATAATTATTGTTGGAAATATTTCATATGTGATGGAATTATAAATAATTTAAAAAAATAATAAAAATTATTTTATATAAAATATTATTTATTTTATAATATAATAACAGTAGTTACATCTATAATATTTAAAAATTATCACTATATATATATATATTAAAATTATTTTATAATTTCAATTTAAAAAGTATTCTTAAAACTATTTTTTATTTAATCTTAATTTTAACCACATTTTTAATAAAAAAATATAATTTTTTAAATTAATTACAATTAAAAATATTTTTATATAATATATATTTTTTAAAATTATAAATATAATAACTACCATAATATTAAACATAACCTCACTATGAACTCACGTGACTTGTTTGTTTAAATATCTTTTTACTGAACCGAGGACGACATTACTTTTTCAAGAAAAAACAAAAGAGGACAACGAGTCGACTGTTGCGCCATCTATTTTTTTAGAATTCGAGTGTCGGAGCGGAGTTCAAAAATTCAATTGGTGGTTTTCTTATTCTAAAATTTTATTTTCAACGTATTTTAGTCTAAAAACATCTTTAAGCTCTTAAAGAATCTATTTCTATTAACTGTAAATATTTTTTTTCTCAAAACTAATATACTTTTCCTCGGCAAAATATAAAGAACGACGAGCACCTCAATTTAACTTTTTTCATCGAATAAAAATTATTGATATCAAGAATAAATTTTTTTATTTTTGAAAATGGAGAACCAACTTTCATAAACTCTATCTCTCCCTCTTAAAACACAAGGACTAAAACGTGATCAGAATGAGCTTTTGGATTAAAACATAAAATTTTCAAATTGAAAGGACCAAAATTGAACTTGTCCAAAATCCAAAGACAAAAAAAGATGGACGAAACACACTGACAAAACAATGTGTGGGAAAAGAAAATCCAATTTTTTGCCCTCAAATTGAATTTAAGTCCCTCTAATTTCAATTTTTTTGCAAACAATTAAATTGATTTTTTTCAGCAAAATATTATAAGAAAAAACAAGACCATCTTAGGAGCACAATAAATTGAATAATTATTATTTCTTCGAGCATCGGCCTTCCATGAAATTTCCAATCCCAGTACTTTACTTTCGCCTGCTTCTCCCTCTTTATCAATATTAAAATAAAACCAAATAAGTGGCTTTTTAATTCTCGAGGTGCCTTTATATAAAAATAACAATACTTTTTTTGAAAGATACATTAAACGTAAGGGCCTTTTATTTTCAGCTGGGGGGCGGTCGCCCCCACCAGCCCTCCGGCTCAGCCACCGTGACATGACTGTAGAAATGGAAAATGCATAGGCAATGATAATGCTACGGCTAATCAAATAAAGCAAAAGTACATGATTCCGCCCCCCTTTTATTAGATTTTTATCATGGGAATGCTCCGACAAATAAAAAGAAAGTGGCGTAATTAATGGAATAACCTGGAAAAGATCAATTCATTTACAATCATCAATCAAAAGATTTTATTTTAGAAAAGTAAACCCACCATTACATTATTTTAATGAATAATGAATACTATCACATTGAATAATGTTCTTCTCCATCCCAATTAGCTTTTATTAATAAATGTTAGTTACAAGACTTTATTAAATCCTTAAATTCACCATTTTAACTATAGATTTGGTTGAGTTTAACATTTTTTTTTTTAAAAACTATTTTTGATGAACAATATGATAACAAATATAAATATATGCAAAAACTGATTAAATATTTTTTTTAAAATTAATAGATCATTTGCTAATGTTATAAAAAGAATATTAAGATTTTATTAAAAAAAGTGAAAATCAAATGATATTAAATAAAATAATATTCAAAATAACTTTTAATTTATTTTAATGAATCATAACTTAAAAAAATAAAAACAAAAAAAATCAAGCACCTAGACTCGATAGGCTAATGACCCATTAAATAATAAATAAAAAAACTAAGCATGTCCTCCTTTTTTTTCAAAAAATAAAAAATAAATAAAAAGTGTAGTTGACACATTGAAAGTTTTTTGAACCTTAGAAATAATAAGAGTAAGTAAAAATATTAAAAAATTAATTAAAAAAAATAATTAGAAAAACAAAAAAATCAATTAAAATTTTTAAAAAACCAAACCGAACTAAACTCAAACTAAAAAAAACTAAAATGAACTGGATCAATTTGAATTTTTTAAATGTTAATTTAATTTTTTTAATAAAAATAAAACCAAATTTAAAATAATTAATTCTAAAAATAATTTTAAACAAAAAGCACATGATAAAACATAGACAGGGGTACAGAAATGGACACCAGGCCAGGCCCAGACATGACCACCCTATAAAAACTTTTTTTTTTATATTAACGGTGTCCACAAAATTTGTGCGGGCCTAAAATAATGTGACCCAATGGCTTCTAATTGAGAGCATGATCCTCTGGGACCCTAAGGCCAAATCATGATTTTGGGCAATTATACAGAACCATGTTTTAGGATCTCTTCTTCGAGTCATCAAACCAAGCAGCAACAGCAGGTACACATTCTCAAGCATCTTTCTTCGCTTTCCCTTTTATTTCTCCAAGTTCACTGCTTTGTACCCCAGTTTTCTGGCTTGATCGTCATTTTAGATTTAATCTAATTCAGATTTTCAACATGTTCGAGAAAATGCCTCAACCAAACTTTACCCCATTTTCTGTTTATTTTTAGCACTTGAGAGAAGTTTTTGTACTCTTTGTATCCTTGGAGGATCACTAATATCGAATGTTGCTTAACCTTTGTGCAATTTGTTTGTGGTGTGTATTTTTGAAGGGGAATTCGATTGAAGTAAGAAACAAATATGGCAGAACTAAACATGGGTATTCTTATAGATATTGTGGACGAGGAATGGTTGAGAGACACTTTGCCAGATGATGGTATCATCATTTTCATTCATTTAGTAATTACCCAATGCGGCTTTCTTCTTCTTCTTCTTTTATTGTGACTTAACTGCCTAGTTTTTGGGATTATTCTTGCCTTAAATGAATGCAGATCTTGCATTACCACCGGTGATGGTTGTCAGGACTGATGATACTGAAGATTCAAGTATGCCTCGCAAACTTTGGAGAAAAAAAATCTCTTTTTTTCTTATTAAATTGGATGCCCATCTTTATAATTGATGTTTTCTGCAATGCTCACTGGAGAGGAATTTATTATATTACAGCTTTTCTTTAAATGTGTCTCTGTTTTTTTTTCCTTTCCGAGTAATTTTTATAGTCTTTGTAAATTGCCAATCAAACCATTTGTCTTCACTGCACTTATCAATTGTAACCATGGAGTATACTGCATTGATCAATTTTGTTGGTCCGCTCAACACGGACCGAGTTTCTGGAACAGTTTTTCCATTTCCATGTGTTTGCTTGTTTATTAAGTGAAGGAGACTTGGCTGGAAATGATGAAAGCTTTTTGGTTGGGTAGTTCTAGTTGATCTATCTCTCTTTAGTAACATGGTTGATCTAAGCGTACTAGTGCTTCTCTCAGTCATTTTTTTTAGTCATGTTGTGTTTCAGCTGCAAGTCCATATCTAAGAGTATTTGGGTTTGCCTTTTTTTTTTTTCAGATCAGGAGACTCAACACGTGGACACAGATGCTTGGCATGATTTGGCCTTAGGCAATCAGTAAAGTTTTCTGGTGCCAGATCTTCTGTTTATTTGTTGTGGAATCCGTTGAGATGGTCGAACCTTTGTTTTCTCAATGATCTGAAATCTAGACTTAGTCCTGTTTGTGTGAAAGGTTTCAGAAAAACAAATATTCTTTATGTAGTTGAGTTGTAGGGGCCTTCATTGGGTGTATTGTGTAAAATGGTTCCACAGCTGCTCATCCCCCTTCAAAGTATGTTGAGGCTTTGCCCCATTTTGCGACGGTGGTGACATGTTTATATGTTAATAATGGCATCAATGAAAAGTCCTGTGTGTAAATTGAGTTTCATTCTTCTTGAAATCATGTAACATCTGATACCTTAGAGAATCAGTTTATGTAACTACAGATTAATGATCAGTTTATGAAATCTACGGAAGGAAGCTATGCTAATGAGCTCATAGTGGGAGAGTTGCTTTCTCTGATGCTTCCATTTCCATTGAGTCTCTGCCCCCGCACACACATTCCTGAAACATGTTTTTGCATGTGATTCTGTGTTTTGTTCTCATGAACACTCCTGGTTAGATTGAGATTACAGATCAATAAATGCACTAGTATAACTCGATAATCTAAAATGAACATAGATAGAATCTATCTACCAGGTGATATCAGTGGAATCGGATGCAGCTACAGTTGTGACAGCCATCAAGGATCATATCCCGGTTCCTGGTGGGGAGATTCCTCCTATTATAGCAGAAATAAAACATCGGTTATCAAGCATGCCTACTGTCTCTGTCAACCTTATTACCAGGAGGGCTAACCAGACTGCAGATTGGGTTGCAAAAGCCATTAAGAACGGCCTTCTTCTTCCTGATTGGCTCTCATGCAATCCCAGTAGGTTTTATAGCACCCTTGTATCTGATGTTTCTACCTAATGAATCGAAGCTGTAGATAAAAAAAGATAAAAAATTCTGTTAGTTAATAGCAATCAGATTTCCCTTGTCAACATCAATCCCTAATTACACTCTTATGTTTCCTTACATTCATTATTCTTTTGCAACTTCAACAACACTCACCACAAGATTTTGTATGTATAGGCACAAGTTACTGACTCAGCATGATCTCCTGTCAATTAATTACTTAATTACATGACAAAATGCGTAATCGTATGTATGATAAGAACGTGTCTTTCAATCTTGAAGAAACTTTTAGGTGAGGTGATGGAGAATAAAATTATTTACAGTCTCAAATCTTTGTTGTCATCCCTTTGGAATTTCGGTTTGGATTCATGTGGATTAGGTGATGCCATCCACTTAGCTTGAGCCTCGAAGCAATTCAAAAATATTTTACTCACAAAAAAAGGAAGAAGAAAGAAACGAACCACAAGTAACGTGAAGGAGCAGGTGAAATACCTGCCCACCACCAAAGAACTGCGGAGCAAGTTCTCCAAATCCATCGGTATACTTTATTTGCATAGATTTCCTTTTACTGTATTGAGAATCTGTACATTTTGGTTAGTAAAATACCATTTCCCTATGCATAACTGGGTGCCCCCAACCCTAATCCCACGAGGGAAGTTTTCTTTCGAACTTGTCTCTAATTGTTGGAATCATATGGCATCAGGGGGTTGATTAGGAAGATTCAGATCCCGTTTATCATTACAGTTCAACCATGATTTTGAATCGCTTGAGCTTCAATTTAGTTTTTTTAGTGTTTTTTACTATTTTGATGTACTGATTTAAAAATAAAAAGAAAAATACTTAAAAAAGGACCTCTACAGGCCCTCTTAAAAAGTCATTAATAAGGCATGAAAGTGTATGGAAGCAGCGTTACCTTGTTGAACTAGAAGGGTGAGTTGAAGTTTAGTCAAGCTTTGCGAACATAGAGATGACACTCGCGTCAAATTGTTCCTGAATCATCCAAGAAAGAATGTCTCCTGCCCCATGTTTGTTCACATGGCTTGCTTCGTCAAAAAAGTGCACAAAAGATTGAATTGTAGGGGGGGTGGGGCAGCCCTGATCATCAATAAAATAATCAATTGCCTCATGATTTTGATTCTTAGAGTCCCACTGATTCGAGGTGGGTTTATTATATACCTCTTCCGTTAATCAAAACTGGGAAATTGTGTTAGGTGCATGGTGTGGACATTTCTGTGGAAAGAGCCGTAGCTTTTTGCCACCATCATTACTTTGGGGACTTACAGGAGTTGATCTCTGATTTTTACTCGAGGATTTTTCGTGAGTTTATAATAAAATATCTTTTCCAAATTTTGATTTCAAATTATTCAACTCCTAACAGTTTCTTGGAAAAACATGCGGCAATTATTGATACATGCTTTGATAGAAAATAATATAAAAGTAAGTTGAATATTTGAAGAAGATGAAATTAAGAAGCTTTGCATAACATGCATGCATGGTGATCATGGAAGAAAGAATCAGCTAAAAACAGGAGGTTACGAAACAAGCATTATAAGACAGAGAACACATGATCAAATCCAGGGCATGAATTATTATTCACAAAAGATGCCATGCCATAAGCTTCTCTCCTTTTGATGGAGGTGAAACCTGCAATATCGCGGCCCCAAGTAACGCTAACCACACTTCAAAATTGCTAATTAATTATTATTCAAGAAAACACTATGCGAAGTTGGAGAATATTTACTGCAGCAAAAATTATTGCTGGTTCTCTCAGGTCTCATTGTAGATTTACTGTTCAAGTTTTTTTATTTTTTTTTTATTATGATCATCAAACCTTTTTTTTAATCAATTGCATGTTTTTTTAGAAAAAATTAAATAGTAATTGATTCAAATTTATTCACCGAGTACAATATTAAATAAAAAACTATTGTAAAAAAAATAAAAATAAATAATCATTTTAAAATTTAATAAAAAATCACTTTAGTTCTCCTGGTTTTCAAATAAAATACTTTTTAGCCCTTAAATATTTTCTAAAATCTCATTTTAATATAAAATGTTTTATTTTTTTATGTTTTAGTTATTGATTTGGAAGTGAGAAAATTCAGATTCTAGTGATAAAGAAAAAAAACCTTAACTAAGACCGATTTCAATCATAAAAAATAATTTTAAAATTAATAAAATTTATTTATTTAGAAAAGTTTATCTAAAATGCTACTTTTTTTTTTAACTTTATCTCAAATGATAGATTAGTGCTCAAATTATTTTTTTATCTAACACAAATAATTCTTGATTTATATAATTATATTTATACACAAACTTTTTAATATTTAATGGAAAATAGTTGAAAAAACCTTACATATTTATTTCTTATTAAAAAATAAAATAATCTGAATTTGGGTCAAATAGCCGGGTATGGAGAATACGCGTTAACCCTCCTTTTCATTTTTAAAATTCCTTAGTTGTGGGGCCTCCCTCTATATGTACAAAATACTAGAGTGGGTCCCTTGGCAGGCAACCCAACACATTATCAATGATCGAGATTTATCTGATAGGCTCATATAGCTGCATATCAAGGTATCAAGTGCCTCTAACCTATGGCACCATACTTGTCAAATTTATCAAGGAGGTTGCTGCAGGAAAGAGAGTCAACCATGACCTAGTCTGCCACAGGTCTACTGCTATTTCCTCCTACTATACTCTAACTGGTACAGTAACATATAATAATATTATACAAATAGAAACCATAATTGGACCGAAATATTAAGCAATGCCGCTTGAACCTCGAAAATCGCAGGATTTACTGTTTATGTGTAAATATGCCACTTTAAATAACATTTCTTCAGCAAGCACCACGTCACTAACCGGGGAATTTTCGGACTTCATTTTATGCTTTAACAAAGAGACTCGACCTTCTCTCTTCTCCCTTCTCCATTAAAAAAAACCCAACAAAATCAAGAGAGGAACCTCAGCCTAGCCTTCTTTCTTGACATCTCATTCTCTCTAGTTCTCTTTTGCCCCCTCTCTTGTATGGAAAATAGAAGTGACAGGGGTTGTCACTTGATGCTGTGAAGCCATGTTTTGCAGGTTTTTGCTTGTCTTTTCACTGTTTGTGTTTGTAGAATCTACATGCAACAGCACAGACCAAGAACTGGTCTCGAAGGCTTTTAGCTCTGTCTCTGGCTTCAACCCTTCCTGGTTTCAACTTGCTGGTCCTGCTTCAAACTGTTCTCATCCTTCTATAACAGAAATAAGACTTCCTTCAAGAAACTTGAGTGGAAGCATTTCTTGGAAGTATCTCAAGAACATGTCCCAACTGCACACAATTGATCTCTCCAGCAATTCACTTCAGGGTCGGGTGCCAGCTTGGTTTTGGTCTATAAAGAGCCTGCGTGAAGTCAATCTGTCTAAGAATGGGCTTGGAGGGAGCGTTGGGTCTGGTATTAATGGCTCATCTATATCAATGCTTAAAGTTCTCAATCTCTCAACCAACAGGTTCACCAGCTTGGTTGAAGTCTCTGGTTTTGGGAATCTAGAGGTTCTTGATATCTCTCACAATGATTTAGGTTCTTTGCCTTCCGGGTTCGCTAACTTGACCAAGCTAGAGTCTCTAAACATCTCAAGCTGCAGCATTTCAGGCAACATAACAGTCATTTCTGGTCTCCAATCATTGAAGTATCTGGATGTCTCAAACAACACCATGAATGGTAAATTCCCTTCTGATTTCCCTCCATTAGATGGCCTTGAGTTCTTGAATGTTTCACTAAACAACTTCTCAGGGCTTGTTGGCTATGACGAATACAACAATTTTGGAAAATCTGCTTTTAGTCATGGTGGTAGTTTGATTTTCAACACCTCAGAAACCCCAACTAATCCCACCATGAAGCCACAACCCCAGCCTCACGAGGGAACCATAAAAAAATACCCACCAGTTTACTTACACGCCAAAAAAGCAAGGTCCAAATCAAAAGCCAAAACTATGATCATTAGTGTCTCATCGACATCAGCATTCCTCTTTGTTTCGATTGCTGTTTGCGTCTTCTGCATGCACAGAAGGCGAAAGATTGCAAAAAGAAACAAATGGGCAATCTCTAAGCCAGTCCAATTCACATTCAAGATGGACAAATCAGGGCCGTTCAGCTTTGAAACGGAGTCAGGTTCATCATGGGTGGCAGACATTAAGGAGCCAACATCAGCACCAGTGATCATGTCATCTAAGCCATTGATGAACTTGACTTTCAAGGACTTGATTGCTGCCACCTCACAATTTGGCAAAGACTCTCTCCTAGCAGAGGGCAGGTGCGGACCCCTCTACAGGGCTGTCCTACCAGGAGACCTCCACGTGGCGATCAAGGTTTTGGAGAATGCGAGGGACCTTCATCATCGTGATGCAGTTGCTATTTTTGAAGATTTTTCCAAACTGAAACACCCCAACCTCTTGCCACTATGTGGGTACTGCATCGCAGGTAATATTTCTACTTATTACCATCTTTGATAAATCTGTGGCTATCTCTCTAATGGTCTCCCGGGCTGTCATTAAATTCTAGGGTTCAGACTTCAGAATTTGGCAAGTAGTTGTTTATACTGGAGCCCCTGTCAGTTTAAAATCTAGCAGATAACTATGATTACAAATTTAGAAGTTCGTGATTAATTTTTTTGTAAGTTCCCTGATTCGTGCCAAATATTTTGAAAACTGGCACCTGTTTCTCTTCTCCATGTCTGTGCGTCTGCCAGGGGGTCTTTGCCACTCCGGAGAGTCTTCGTGCCTGTTTCGCACCGAGTTTGTAAATGTGCTTTTCTTTAAAAAATGTATTATTATATCCTTGGACACCCAAGAATCTTGATGGAAATATGCTTGAGTTTTTGTTTTGTTCAGAACTAATTGATAGTGTAACTTTTATTTTTAGAAGAGTGTTTGTTTTAGAATAATTTTAATATTTTTTTTAGTTTTTTTATGTGTTTTAATATGGTAATATAAAAAAATTAAAAAAATATTTTAATATATTTTTAAATAAAAAATATTTTTTAAAAACATTTAACTCTTTGTTTTAATATTAAACTTAATGTTTTAATTCTCCATCTCTCTCTCCTTTGTTTATAATTTTTTATACCAGGTAAAGAGAAGCTCGTACTGCACGAATTCATGTTCAACGGAGATCTCCACCGTTGGCTCCACGAGCTGCCCACACTCAAAACCAACTTGGAGGACTGGAGCGCTGACACGTGGGAGAATCAAAACATCCACGGGTCCCACATTGCTTCTCCTGAAGAAAAAACTAACTGGCTCACACGCCACCGAATTGCCGTCGGGGTGGCTCGTGGTGTTGCCTATCTCCACCACGCGGGATCCATTCATGGCCACCTCGTCGCGTCCAACATCCTCCTGTCTGATTCCATGGAACCCCGGGTTGCCGATTTTGGACTTCGAAACGTTGGCCAAAAGAACAGAAGTGTCGGTTTGGATAGCAAAGATTGTGGGTTTGAGAATGACGTGTATTGTTTCGGGGTTGTGTTGATAGAGTTAATGACGGGCGAACAAGGGAGTGGAGAGAATGTGGAGTGGGTGAGGAGGCTAGTGAGAGAGGGTCGTGGTGGTGACGCGATTGACTCAAGGCTGAGACTCGGCGGCGACTCAGCAAGCGAGATGGTTGAGTGCCTCCGAGTTGGGTACCTCTGTACGGCTGAGCTGCCTGAGAAGAGGCCCACCATGCAGCAAGTCTTGGGTTTGCTCAAAGACATACATCCGTGTTGAGTTGAGTCACCGGAGTCTGGTTGAAATATTACCTCGCGCGCATAGGATAACTACGAGGCCAACATGCTGCAGTGGCGCTTTTTGACTGGCTGAATTGCGAAGTGATGTGCACGTGCTACGAAGCGAAACGGGGTCGGACTTTAAGCTAATTTGCAAGAGACCGTGTCCTGTTGGCTGTCTCTCAAGATTTATTAGCTTTTTGTGTGATTTATTTAATTTTGTCATCTATAGACAAAAACTTAAAGGAAAAGAAAAAGGTCTCAAAAGAAAAGTGAAAAAAAAAAAAAGAGGAACAAAAGGATGTGGAGGTAGGGTAAGAACGGAAGGTAAAGAGATGCTAGGTAATCCCATTTAAAGTGTATTTGATTTTGTATTTGAAAAGCATTTTTTAAATTATTTTTTTATAATTTTATGTTGTTTTAAAAATAGATTTTAAAAAATAAAAAATATTATTTTAATATATTAAAAAATGCTTTTAAAAACAATAATTACAACCATTTCAAACATTACCTTCTTAAACTATAATAAGCCTTTAATCTCCTCTTCTTTTCAATTCTTATCGGACCTTTTCTTTTATTGTATTTCTTTCTTCCCTTTATTCGATCTTTAATTGTTTTCTATTTTTCTTTTGCGTCTTTTGATATGGATTTTCCTTTTTGTTTTTGCTAACGGAAAGAGGGAGAGATGGATGCTCCGTGACCATGCACGTCTATTTTCAGTTACGTGTGTTCTTCTTGTGATCTTTAGCCAAGAAGAATCATGTTTGAGGCGGCGAACATAACAGTGGCTGTCATATATAGGGGGCAGAAATTGTAACAAGCAAGGAAATTTCAATTCTGATGGCGGTTTTTGTCCACTCAACAGAAGCCAATCCCGTCGTCGACTGTTCCTTTCACAATCAGAGAATCAATCATGTTATGTTGTGCTCTTGTACTAGCTAGCGACATTTTAGATGAATTATTCAGTGCGCATGAGTGGAGTGGTTCGAGTCCTTTTAATCAGTAGAAATTGAAGCTTTCAATCAACATCCATCAGCGATTTAGAGGAGTTCTTGAGACTAAATTTATCGACATAACTCAGCATAATTTAACATTAATTCTCATGTTTTCTAGCTAAGAAGCATCCACAGGGATGCTTCCAAAGCCAAAGTAACTGTGTTGCAATACAGAGGCAAAAAAAGAGGGAGGACTGCCTTTAATTTTCATAAGCTGTTTTGTATCTATAGCTTTCTTTAATAAAATGAATTCGAAATCTAATAATCTTAGTTTATTTAATAATTTTGTAATGTAACTAGGAGGGTTACCCTTTTGTATAGTTTTAATTGTCTATTACAGCGCAAGATGGATATTGTATTTTAAAATGTGTTTTGCTCGGAAAAATATTAAAATATTTTTTTATTTTTTAAAAATACCAACATAAATAATTTGATATAAAAAATAAATAAAAAATAGCAAAACACCCCAAGACTCGCATGTTCTTCGGTCGGGAAAAAAGGAAAAAAGGAGAAAGATACATATCCCTAACGTGATCACTCTCAGAATACGAAGAATGGTAGTCCAATGCAAATAGCTGTTGCGCAAACTCATCGGTCAGATCACTGAATCTTCGAAAGTTAGGCGTTTTCGAAAAGTCGGTTGGAAGTATATGCGTTAAGCGACAAGCAATCATCATCATCATCAAAGGGCTGGAAAACTAAAGCAAAAGCAACTTCACTCTGAGAAATATTTCTTCTCGTCGACCATCTGCTAGGTATATATTCTGTAAGAAAGTGAAAGGAGACAGTGATGGGCATCCATCACCAGATCTTTATTGTACAGAAACAATATAATGCCTTGCCTTGATCTTGGGACTTGGAAGAAAGTTACAAGCGTGGAGTTGATATTGATCTTAGTTTAACCATATGGTTTCTTTTATTTTCTGTATATACAACAATTAGACAATGCATCTGGATTTATTTTCTGGTTACCAGCAGACATAGATCGGGACAAACTTTCTTCTCGAACTGATTAGTATTCTATTTCAGCCAGAACATTAATTTCGAAAGTTACAAATTCATGTTACGTATAGACTAGATACGCAATCAAATCTGGGGAAAACTGACAGAGAAACTTAAACGATAATTCTTTGCATCGTTCTTTATCTTGAGAATAGCAAGAGACGATTCAGTGATATATGTATTATGGTGAGTGATGCGCGATCGATGGATACCAGACTAGAGCTCTTCCGAGGTCGGCGGGAGACCCTCACCAGTCATTCCCGGCCCTCAGGTCAGCTTGCCCTAGCTATATGCCCATCTGGCTCTTAGATTAATCACAATCTCACAAATATTAGTTACAGAGGTGGTATATATAGCAATGTTCTTGTGTTGTTTTAATTTCTTAATGCCTAATGTAATCTTCTTAGCAGCATGCAACCTTCGTACCAATCTAGACGGCCTAGCTTTTAGTCTAGACTAGCATAGTTGCTCGTTGTTTCTACGCTGTAAAGATAATTTCATAATAAAAATAAATATTTGTTGGCAAGATAATGAATAAAATCATATTAAAAAAATATATGTTTTTCATTAAACTGTTTTTTTCTGATTAATGCAAGTTTTTTTTTTTACGACAAAATGGTTTTCTTATTAGCAAAAGAAACAGTAATAAAAATATATATATTCATGAAAATTGTAATGATTTGAACTAAAAAAGAAAAAAATGTATTTTTAATCAAAAACCTACTTTTTTATTCATGCATTTCTTTTTTATTTAAAAATATATTAAAATAAAAAATAAAAATAACTACCCCTTTAAAAACAAAATAAAAAAAGACAGGTAAATATTCCTAAACTATTTCTTTAATGCTCATAAATATTAGGCCACAAAGCCTACATGCTTAGGTTTTTTTAGTCTATATTTTAGTTTTATTATTTTATATTTAAATTAAAAAATTAATAAAAAATTATTAAGTCCAATTAAATCTATAATTAATATTATAAGTTTAACGAATTAATTTATTAGCATACAAACTATTATTTATTTATTTATTTTTATATTGTTTTTATCCCTTAATTTTAAAAACTATTATATAATTTCACTATTTGTTATTAATATTTTTTTTTATTTAACTCAAACTTTAAAGGATGTAATTTTATTATTTGTTATCAATCATCTATATTTGTTATCTTAGCATTATGTGTTTACCATAGATTTTTATTTTTAAAAAATATTATATATAAAAAATTATTATACATTTTATTGTTATATAATTAAATAAAAAAATTATGAAATTCTTTTTATGGATTTTATCCTTCAATGAATTGATCTTTTCAATTTTTTTAAATTATTCTTATTAATTTCATAAATTAATCCAAATTAATTTAAATTAATTAATTTTTTATGATAATATTATTTTAAAATATCATTTAATTCATAATTAAAATTTTTTATAAGACACGTTAATAATCCACAAATATATTTTTTACCCTTCAACCCACGGCATAGCCCGTGCCGCTAGTCATGTTTTATACAAAATGCAAATATCCCAACTTTATTAATATCTTCCTCTTTTAACAAAATTGAAGAAACCCTAACCCTAGAATTGCAGTCATGGCGTCCAGAAAGAAACAATTAGAAGGAATCGCATTACTCTCAATGTACAACGACGACGAAGAAGACGATGAAGAAATGGAAGATCTCCATTACCAACAACCACATAACGACATGGAGGAAGATGCTCTGAAGGATGATAACGCCATGGCTACCGAAGCAGAAGCAGCTACCTATTGTAGAAATTCAACTCCCAAAGGAGGAATTTTACGGCTTTTGAAGCCGCAGCAGCAAGGAGGGACTATTAATTTGGAAACAAAAAGAAGTAATAGAGGAGGGACACTTGCTATTGTTGATTATGGCCACGGTGAAGTTGCTATGTCCCCTGAACCCGAGGTAATTCCTTTGTTTATTTTTTTTAATTGTATGTCAATGTACTGCTCTCTTTGTTAATTTTCGTATGCTGTTTGCTTTTGTTCCGGATTAATTGGGTTGTCACTTTTGTAGGAAGTGGAGTTTGAAGAGAAGCTTCAAAGTGTCAATGGTAGGCGTTGCTCATCTTTTTATCTATTTATGTATGGATTCATGGATCAATTTTAACCATTTTTTTCTTAATAAACCATTAGAGTTTGTTCCCCCATTGTTTGCGTGTTGTTATGCAGTTTGTTTTAAATATGATTTTGCTTGTTGTAAATGTGAATTTGTATTATTTGTGTTGAACATCTGTGATGGTCAAGTGGCATGCAGATTGAAAAACATATTTATGATGGTTCTAGAGGAGTTAGGTTAGTTATTATTGAATATAGACTTAATAGGACAAATTATTTTTTAAGTTAGTGGTTTCCTCTTACGTTGCTTATGATTTAATGCTATTTTGCTTTGAATACAAGTGTTGTTGACAAGTGTTCTCAGAAACTGACTGTAAGATGAATGAATGCATCTGCGGGCAACAAAAAGCTCCTTCTCATGTTGTATCTTTGTTTGACCACTTTTTTGAAATATGCATGCAATTACAACGAAATGAGACAAATCAAGGTTCTCATTGTTTCTTAGTTAGAATGCTCATGCTGATCATTAGTTAAATTTGTTTGTAACAGGTGTTATCCAAGAAAAATCTTCTCCAGGAACTGCTCATTTTTTATCTCCCAGTTTTCAAGCAACTCCACAATCATTTGAAAATTTAGGACCATCACAGCTTGATGAAATAAATGATACCACTAATGAATCAGAAGCTGTCAACACTGAAGGTGCTAATGAGGTTCCTGCAGAGGGTGTTAATCCATTTGATAAATTTCTTCCTCCACCACCAAAAGAGAAGTGCCTGGAGGAGTTGCAAGCAAGTTTCTTTCATTTCTGCTGTCAATAAGTGCTTTATAACTTTGCTATCTCTGGTGCTTTTGTCAACTTTGTTTACTATATACACCCATTTTTACAAAATATATGCCTTTTGTTTTTCTGGAGATTTTTTTTCTTGAGCAGGGTTGAGTTGGGAATATTCTGATTAGGATGCTATTATTACTCATTGATCCTCAGTACATTTTGATTAAAAATCTGGTCCTTTAGAAGGACATTGGTATTTTTCACTTTAAAATCTGAAACTATTGCAGAGTATTGCCTCACAGAACTATTCTTCATTTTCTGAAATTATTCCCACAGATCTTTTTTGGCTTAAGTAATTTGGATTGCATTTTACAGTTTGGTTACCATGAGTAATCTTAGACAATCCTCGTTTAGTTCCTTTGTTGTTTTGCTGCTGTGAGTTATGTTAGAAAATGCCTTGGTTGAATCATGGTTCTTTCCCAAAATTAAGAATGCATGATATTTTTTGGAACATAAAATGAACTGTCTTTCATGTATTCAGATGACGTAGCTTAATATGATTGGTTTGTGATTACAATATGTAGCACATTGTACATGCTCTTAACAGATTTTCCCCTCTTCATACTGTGTTATTTGCAGAGAAAAATTGATAAATTTCTTGCTTTGAAGAAAATTGGGAGAAGCTTCAACTCAGAAGTCTGCAATAAGAAGGATTATAGGAACCCTGACTTCTTACTGCATGCTGTGAGGTATCAAGTTATTGATGAGATAGGATCTTGCTTCAGGAAAGATGTATTTGACCCTCATGGATATGACCAAAGTGACTACTATCTTGAGCTAGGTTATTGCTGTTTCTTTCCACAGTCCCATTACTGTCTTTGACTTGGATTTTCGAATATGGGTTTGGGGTTCCTTTAAGTTCACTTGTAATTTGGTTAGTTATGAAGATCATGTGTTTTAACTGGAGCTTATGACTTAAACGGAAAGTCTGCACTTATTTTGATACCAGGGATGTGATTCATTGGTAATAGGAAGGGACTGGTCACAGGCCTCTGATTCTTTCTTACAGTTCATCACACCCGACATAATATTTTGCGTTATATATGATGTCACACTTTAATATGTACCCTGCTTGCCATAACCTTTTCATACATCAGCCACAAGACTCAAATAACAAAACCTAACATTTCATGGAATTTTGTATTTTTTTCCTTGCAAATGTTGGATATTTAAGTTTGTGTTTTTCCCTGATAAACAAATAGACTTGGTTTTCTGGCTTGGCTGAAGATTTATTCAGATTAGGGCCTGCAGTATGCCTTTATTTGGGATTGAAAAGCTTGCATTGCTGAATCGATTTCTCTAGTGTCTGGTTGTTTTTCAAAGTCATTTGAAGCCCTAATTTTTTGCAAATAGAGTTGTCTTTCCATTGAATATAATTTCCTGGCAATGACCTTTAGTATATTTGTAAAGCAGAGGTTGGCATGAGGCGTGAAAGGGAGAGGAAGGAGCGAGAGTCGAAGAGAAGTACAAAGGTCGAACGTGTTATGGGGGGGATTCAGCCTGGAGTGGTTGTACCTCCAGCAAAGTTCAGTATGCCTATTCCAGGTCCTAAAAAGTTTCTGTGACTGTAGTCATCGACTTTATGAGATAATTTTCCCCTCAATGTTGTATTTTATAATGGTCTCCCTCAGCTGATTTTTCTGATGTTTCAGTTTTCACTGCTAGTGGGATGCGTCCATCTTCAAATGCAGCTGATGCAGCTCCTCTTGAGGTTAGACAGAACAAGAAGTCAAAATGGGATAAGGTTATCATCTCTGCATGTTGCTCATATATGCAACCTTATGATTGCGCTGATGCTGAGGAACTACCATTTTGACTATTTTGTTTGCTTTCAGGTGGATGGTGATGGAAGGAATTTACTAACTGGTGGACAGGATTCTTTAGCTGCAGCAGCGGCAGCTCAAGCAGCACTATTATCTGCAGCTAATGTTGGTTCTGGATACACAGGTTTTGTGTGAGTTCTGTTAGATCCTTTGAACAATTTATTCATGCTCATACTTTTTTGAGCACCTTTCCCCGTCCTTCTATGCCCTTGAGTTTCTGTTTAAGTGCTTTGATATGATCACAGTAATGAGGTGATTAGGATTGCTGTGGTTGTTGTGCATATCTAGTAATTGGATTAGAAGGACAGCCAGCCCTTCCACGGGAGTGAGTTTTCTGGTGGGTTTGGTATGAAGATTAAAAGTTTGGTATGAGCTGTAAATTTGTGGTGGGAAATTTATAATGTTCTGTTTGGTTACTTTGAGAAAGATGTATTACTTAAATATTTCAGGAAAACGAAAAATAAAGAAGAATCGAATTCTTTGGACCTCTTTAAGAATAAGGACGATCATGACAGGATTCTAAATACTTACCAATCAGCCACTAAATACTCCAGTTATGTGACTTGGGGATCAGGATGCTTTTTGTCTATTCAAAAACCTTACTATGGTCCCCAGATTGTTGTCATTGTATACATTATACGTAAAAGAAGTACAGGGGCAATGCGCAGGTTTACGAACTGACAAGAACTTTCTTTGTTGACCAACTTCGAAGTTTAATAAATTGATGATGCATACTGATCCATTTTCATGTAGCAGGCAGCAGAAACGGCGAGAGGCAGAAGAAAGAAGATCCGGAGAAAGGAAGTTGGAAAGAAGATCTTGAGCATTTTGTCATACGCTTCTGCAATGAATTCAGGATATATACCATTTTGGGAATGGACAAAATTGCTCTAGGCAACATTGCTTTGTTCTTGTTAACATGCTAATTTTTATAAAAGAAATTGTATTTAATTGCAACTAAAAGCTAAATTTTGTAATTTTCAGCTTGAAGTGTAATATAGCTTATAGCATGAGGTCGACCTCTTCTGCTTGCTGTGCACGTGTATGTGATTAGCTGACTGGTTTTTGCAGGGAGCAACCATGGTTATAAAACACGCCCAGCCTCGTTGGCTTTCTTTTTCTTTTTCACATCAATGTCAAATTGAAACGAAACAATGTTCACCTTGTGACGTGGGTAATGACATTGGTGAAAGGCGAAGTATTATGTTCATGGTTGCTTAGTGCTCCTTTGCTCATGCAGGCATGACATGATTGAATGAACATTTCTTCGCATTTGCATTGTTATAAGACGCTTTTGATCCTCAATATTTTTTTAAATGTATTTTAAAAAATTACTTTCGATTTGATTTAATTTTTGGTATTTAATATAATTCTTGTTATGGTATTAATAAATAAAAGTTTAGGGAGTGAAATTAAAAAGGAGAGAATTGAAAACTAAGAAGAGTAGAGACTGAAATGATAACATGAAAGAATATGCAATCTTGGATAATTACTTTTGTCCATGCTGACTCTGACGACACATAAAAATCAATTTTAATTCTCATTATCTATTTGTTGTTCAAATAATTTTTTTATTTGATTTGTTAATTTTTTAATATCTAGCTTTTGTTCATGTTGATGTTGTTTTGAATAAATTCACAATGTATTTTTTTATGTTCAATTTTGCTCATTTATATTAATTGAATTTGTTAGAATATTTGTGGCGGACATGATTGGTGAAATCATTAATTTATGGTGAATTAATGTAAATTATGTAATGAAAAGAAATAAATCAAAATCCAAGTCGCCTGTTTATTATTATTATTATTATTTCAAATCGTGCCTCATAATAAAAAAAAAAGTAAGGATTAGGTTTTGTTATGTAGCCTAAATTTCAAATCATTATCCTAGAAGTGTCTATATATATATATATATATTTGCGCACAATATATATTTTTATTATTAAAATCAAACAATAAAACAAATTATCTTAAATAAAATGTTTTAGATTTATTTTAGCATAATCAAAATTTTATCTAAAAATTTATGAAAACCTATTAAAATTTTTAGTTATCATAAAATAAGATAGCAACTTTTTTTTTTTTTTACCCATTCACATGACATAAAAATATTCTAAAACGGAGGGGAAGCGTTGCATAATGTTAAGTACTGTGCACACATTCATAATGTATTGTGGACTGGAGCAGGCATTTTCTTTTAAATTCTCAATTTGAATTTCAAACTTTTATTTCACATTATGGAGCCCGAATTAAACATCTAATTGTATTTTTTTTAGAGAGAGGATTGAACTGAAAGACAAAGAATTGAAGTGAAAAAGATTAATAAAATAGATAGTAATTTTGAAATTTATTTAAAAAATTTATTTTACTTCCTTATTTTTTTTAGTTATTAGATAACCGATCTCCTTGATTTTTTAAAAATTTCATTTTAATACCATATTTTATTTACCTCATCTTCAATTTTTTTTTTTTGTACAAGAGAGAAGAGCTTGTCGAATTTCAATATAGAAAAAGAATATTTTTATAAGTGACATTTTCAATCATCTAAATAATCAATTTTTATGTTAAATAGTTTCATATGATAAGAAAGGTTTTACTTTGAAAGTGCCTAAACAAATGAGTTTGAGAAGATTTTTGGTTTCACTTCGATTATAAGGTAGTTTTTTATGTTTTTTAAGGTCATTAATTAGTTTAACAAGAATCTTGTTTTTATCAATTATCATACTAGTTGGGATCTGGAAAATTTCAAATAATGTGTCATCTATTTCTTTTAAAAAAATAAAAATTAGGGTGAATTATATTAAATTAAGAAAAAACAAAAGCCCATATGCATAAGTATGATCTTTTAGGCCCGCACATGAGTTTTTTCTCCATAGGCCAACCCATGGCCTGACTTATTAGGCCCAACAGGGTTTAACTTCTTTTTTTTAGTTTTATTTTTTCTTGAGTAATACCACTTTTTATATATTTTTTAAAATAGTTTTTAAGTTTATATTTTAATTAATACCCCTTCTTTGTGATTTTTTTATTTATCCTTTTTGAAATAACAATTATTTTTTAATTATATTGGTAATTTTTCAAGAGGTTACTATAATTAATTTGTATTTTTTATATATTAAATTTATTTTAAAAAATAAAAATATTAGTTTTTTATAACATTTTTAATATGTGTAGCCTTGCATAGTATTTTTTCCTTTTATTTTTTTTAATAAATTTTATGTGTATGTTGATTTCTATTACAAGTTGATTTTAATAAACAAATTCATTAAAACAACCAAGTAAATGGCCGGTGAAGAGAAATTTAATACCTTGTTCTACATTCATTTCTTAATTTTTTTTAATTTCATTGTTATTTATCGTTAATGATTGTTTTTATTTATTTATACAATGATTCTTGATATATTTAATTAGATGTGTGCATAAGATTTTTTATTTATAATTAGAAATTTTTTATGTAAAAAATATGTTGAGAAATTCTACATGTTCTTTTTCTAATAATGTATTGATGTTTTCAATTTGATCCATATTCTTTTTGTTTTTGTTTTTGTTTTTTCCTTAATCCTTTTATAAAAGTTTTATTGTTTTTAATTTTACCCTTTAATCTAAGTTTATAGTGTACTGGTTTTTTTTTTATTTTGATTCTTATTTTTTTTATTTTTTAAATATTTTTTTCTTTTTAATTGAACTCTTAAATTGAAAATTTGTTGTTTCCTTTAATTTATTTTTTATTTCAATTTTAAACCTTTTGTTTGCTATTTTTTATTTTAAAAATTTTCATCTAATATTTTTTTTAATTTTATCTTTTAATGCTTTATTTTATAAGGATTGAGCTTCATACTTTTTTTCATGCATAGTGCATACGGTTTGGTTTGATGACCCGATTTATAGGTTTAAAAACTTAACATGAGTTTACATTTTCTTTATCTTTTTTTTCCATCTAATTATGATTTTCTCATAATTTAGAATATGAGTTTATCAAATTAATTTGAATTAACTTACCTTTTTAATATTTATATTACATGTTTTTCATCATTTTTCTACCATATTCCTTCCTTCCATGTTTAATTGAATAAAAATTAAATACTTGCATTTTTTTTTATTTATTATCATTGGTATTTTTTTATATTTCATATAATTCAAATAAAACAAATTTATTTAATTGATCGAGATTATAACCCAAATTATTCTTTAAGTATATAGAGGGGTAGTCTCGAACGTGGTGTCACTGGGGCACAGCTGGGCTGCGTAGAAAAGGGAGTTATTAGCATGCTGTCCAGCTTCCCCTCTCTTCAGGGCAGAGTGGACGGTTGGCACCTTGACCCCATAGTCTAATGAATGCTTGCACTGGTCACTAGAAAGTGATCCTCAAGGATTGATTGATTGCGAATGGGCACACTTTCTATGTACATTTCCAAGGTCTTTCCCAGCCGAAAGGAATTCCGAAGCAGCCATGGCATGACCTCGTTTACCTGGCTCTCTTTCGGATGCCATTTGCACTCTCATATTCCTTTGTAGCATAGATAGCACTCTTTTCTTCCCCTTCCCTTGCCGATCACCATAGCCAACAGCAGAGGGCCGTGGCTACTCGACACAATTATTCTCCCCTCCACTCGTGTCTCGGACACATCGAAGATTATTGTATTCCATCATCGCATTATTGCATAAATCTAGTTCGACTGTGATAAGATGTCTTTGCATTGTAAGTTTGAGATTCGCAGTCAACATTACTTTGGCTAAAGTAGTGATAGAGGCCCCTCCCCCCCATTTCTATGCTATGTGTGAAAGTGAAGCATATCTCAACTACATGGGATCTTGATGCTTTCTGCAAAAAGAACTTTAAGCATGGATAACATTGTCAGTGAATATACCATCTCGTTGATTAGCTAGTTACATATAGTATTAAATATATCTATTATTCATAAAAATTATTTTTGTATTTTATATTTATTTATATCTAATTAGTAAATCTAATGTTTAACTAATGAATGTAATGTAAAGATATAGTTTATGAAGTAAAACTACTTCATAAAAAAATTATAAAATTATTATAATTATAAAATTTTTACTATATTAAAGTATTATTTTTATATATTTTTATTCAATATTTTATTAAGACTCGATATTAATCAGAGCTATTGAGATCAATACATATTATGTTTTTTTTATAAAAGAAAATGGTTGTTTTTATAAATTAAGGTATACGAGAAATTTAGAATAATATATAGGTACTTGTTAAATGATATGTATATTAAACTAACCCTCAAAAGAATTTTATATGAAGAGATCACATATATCTATGGAAAAACTTACATGATAATTGTGTAAATAATCTCTTAACTTGAAATCATTAAGTTATATTATATAAAAAGTCTTATATTTTGATCAAAATTACATGTTATCCTAATCAAGGGTAATAGACAGACATATATTAGGTATAACATAAATTATATGAAGAATTCAAATAATCAAGATACGATTCATCATCCTAGATGAGTTATGAAAAATATTTCATATGTTTTTAAATTTTCAAATAGTATTGATTGTGAAATCCTTTAATTAGACGGAATGAAATTTGAAAAGAATTTTACATTTTAGTTAAAGAATTAATAATTATAGTGTTGAGAACTAAAATGATTTAACAAAGCAGGTATACTTTATGATATAATGTTTAAATTGAAAAATTCTCGATGAAAAGATAATAATTACACTGAGATACTAGTTACTAAAAGGTTAAGTTAAACTACTTATGACTTTCTTAATATTTGGAGATCATAATTAGTTGTTAAACATCATATACTTGATCTTCAAATATAAATCAATCAATTATTCAATTGATAATAAATCAAATTATTTATTTTATTTTGGATAATGATTTATGTTTGGGTCAGTTTATTAGGGATCCGAATAAGTCACATATATAAGAACCATTGATTAGAAATTAAAATTAGATGATTAATCAAGTATAATTTAATTATAAATAATTTTATAAACTTAGGAATATAATATAATTAATATAAGGGATTACAATTCAAGATCTAAAAACAAGAAGTAAGGACTTGATTTAATATATTTATAAGATAAACTTAAAATAATATATGTGAAATTATTTAAGAGGTAAATTAAT